GTATGTTGGCGTTCCCGTCAGATGGATCTCGTTTGGAAAAGGCTTCGGTTCCATTCGGAAATGCTATGTATCCATTCTCTTCGGTTTTGTCCTTTCCTTTCCTGCGTTTTTTTGCATTCAATCCCGTACGGTAAACACATCGTTTGTTGGGAAAAGCTTGCGACATGATTTCTCCTGTTTGTTGGGAGGAACTTGTGACATGTTTCCTTCTGTGTCCAGCGTTTTCTGCTGCAAACCGAATGATGTCATTGGTTCAACCAGGCCCAAAGTAAACATGTTTCTTGATGCTCTTTAGATCATCCCGTTGTGGTTCGATGCCATGCTCCCGTTCGGTTCGGTTCGGTTAAAAAATTTGGGCTACCCATGAGTTCATATGATATGCAGAACTGGAAAATTTTGGAAAATGCCTTTGGAAGGAAAGTTCGATTCGATTCCGAGCTGCCGACTACCTTCTTCCCCGAATACAACGTACGGTCATTATGGCTGTATTTGTCGCATTTTCAGTCTAGATGCAGCTATAATGACCGTACGTTGTATGCGGGGGAAGAAGGTAGTCAATCAACTTTGTGATGGATGATGCCTTGTCGTTTCTGATTCGATCTGCGATTGAATCTTCTCTTTGGGTGGCAAAATTCCTGTTTCAATATGAAGAGATGTAATGCCACCAGGATTAAAAGGATCGAAGAAGCCTTCAGCTCCCCAGGCAGGGGGATACTGATTGAACCTCTCCAGTAATTCCATACGGGTCTGAAATCCATAAATACTAGAGGACCAAATAATCCAGGTACATGAAAAGCACCGAACCCAGTTCTGCTTTAGAAAAGGCAAAAAAAGTGCCCTTGGATTTTCAATTTGCAGTCTCCACTAGATGGTAGTAGCCGTAGGGTAGGGCCTCGTTTTACCCCTCACCAAATATGCAAAATGAGAATGAATCTCGAGCTAGAACATGGAAAGATACGCCACGATCATGTTTGTTTTTACTGCATGTGGTGGGTGGTGGAGAGAGACCCAACTGTTGCTTTGTTTCTTCACAAAGTTTGCGTTTGTTGTTCTCAGTCTTCAGGTTTAGGGTCACTCGCATCGGTGTTGTGATCCCCTCCCCGCTCGTTCTTTCTTACTTTCTGTTTTGGAATTGAATTCGTTATCCATCACTCGGCTTGCGGCAGACGTTGGCTTGCTGAAGAAGGTAGCACGGCGTATTGCTGGTAGTGCTGAACAGCTGAAGTTAAACTCTTGAGAGTTAGGGATACATCCTGATGGGTGATGTAACCCTAAGTTAAATTCTTGCACATGGGGAAAAAAGATCAGTGGCTGTTGAGTTGAGTTGAGTTGCCAAATGGATGGACCTCTTGAAAAGGGAGCAGTCTCAGTCTGCCCGGTAGTAACTAAAATACGGTCAAGAAGTGAGCTCAGATAGCCGTTGCTGCAGATTGAAAGATCAGGAATTGTTGAGAGATGTTAAAATGGAGAAGAGAGACGCTGTAAGGAGGAGTTGGGAGGAAGAGGAAGGCCAGAGGAAGAAGGATGGGGGAGGAGAGAAGTTGATGAAGGGGAAGTGAGGACGGTGTGATCCTTTTTGCTGTAACATGATTCTATACAGACGGATTGGGGGGTAGGGAGGGTAGCAGGCGGGGGCAGAAGCATAAAAAACATGAGGAGGAGGCAGATGTGAATAGGGAGAAGGAAGAGGAGGGAAGGAGAAGGGAGAGCAGGGGTGGCGAGGGAGGAGGGTAGCTGGGAGGAGGGATTTGGGATGGGAGAAAGAACAGGGAGGGGAGTTGAATACGAGCAAGAAGCAAGGGGAAGAACRKGAAAGCAAAGGAAGAGAGAGGGAAAGGGAAAGGTGATGGACATGATGAAGAAAGTGAGCCAAGGGATGGGAGTCGATAAGAGGGGGGAAGACGAGAAAGGGAGAAAATTTGTAGTATAGAAAGTGGGAATAAGCTGGGCTGCTAGCCATTTGCAGTGAACGGTGGGCAGAAATCAAGATATAAAGATATGATTAGAAGATTCAATCAGTCTATTATGACATGGTATGATTGTGGAAAAGAAGGGAAAAATGAACCTAGACGGGATTTTATGTGTTGTTACTGTTCGTTGCTGTTGGGGTTAATAGTAGTTGAGCACGTTTTTTTTGCTGTATGTACGATGCTCCCTGCACTTTTTTCTCGGTTGTCGTTATCCTGAACCACGCTCTGTTCTTGTTGTCTTTTTATAGGACGGAGATCTCGAGAAGGGGACACGGAAGAGGGGATACAGAAGAGGAGACACTGCGGGATCTGAGAAGAGTGCGGGGAGGTCGTTGAAGATATGGCGGGACTTTCACTCCCTGCGCGCCACGTTGTGGCGCTTCTTGTTGCCGTGGTGAGCGTGGCTGTATTCGTTGTCCCGACATTGGCTAATGCATCTGCGTCTGGATCGCCGTCGAGCCTGCCACGTGTGCCATTGTTCAAGAAGCGCGTGACTTTGGCGCTCGTGCGCGCGGTTCTGCGCGAACGCGCAAGGCAGTTGGTCCGTAATGCGGGCAGCGGTCGCAGGGTGGCGAACGAGGGAGATGATCTGGAACCTGATCACGTGGCGTTAAACAACTACCTGGATGCGCAGTATACGGCGGAGATCGGGATCGGGACGCCTCCCCAGACCTTTCGCGTGGTGATGGACACCGGCAGCGCTAATCTATGGGTACCTTCGAGGAAGTGTCGTTTCTCGATCCCATGCTACTTCCACAGGAAATACGATAGCGGCTCATCGAGCACTTACGAGGAAGATGGCACGGACATCAGCATCCACTACGGCACGGGCGCCATGGCGGGCTTTTTGAGTCGGGATGTCGTCACGGTCGGGACCGTGGCTGTCCAGCATCAAGGTTTCGCCGAGGCGATGAAGGAGCCCGGGACTGCCTTTATTCTTGCCAAGTTCGATGGTATCTTGGGTCTAGGGTTCATGGAAATCTCCGTGGATCGTGTCACACCGGTTTGGTACAACATGGTGGAGCAGAGACTGGTGCCGGAACCGGTCTTCTCATTCTGGTTGAATCGTGATACTGAAGGACAGATGGGTGGGGAGATGGTTTTGGGAGGAGTCGATCCCAAGCACTTCACAGGGGAGCACACGTGGTCTAATGTTACCCGCCGAGGGTACTGGCAATTCGCCATCGACGATGTGACCGTCGATGGGGAGAGCGCGGGGTTCTGCCAACATGGATGTTCCGCCATAGCTGATACAGGGACGTCTCTCCTTTCCGGTCCCACAGCGGTCATTGCGGAAATCAACCAAGCGATAGGTGCCACTGGAGTTATCAGCCAGCAGTGCAAACAGATGGTTACTCAGTACGGCCCGATGATAGTCGATCTTCTTCAAGCACAGGTTGATCCTGAGAAGGTATGCCAGCAAGTTCACCTGTGCGACGATGGCGAAAACCATCTGAAGACCACAACCTCCTCCTCCTCCTCGTCGTCGTCGGGTCTTGGCGTCATGGAAGTCCTCGTAGAGCACGGGGAGGAGGAGGTTAAGGGGAGAGCGTGGGAGTTGAAGGTCGTCGGCGACAACGAACCGCTGTGCAAGTTTTGCGAAACGTTTGTCTTTTGGATCGAGAGGCAGGTGAAGCTTAACAAATCAAAGGCTGAGATTTTGGAAAAGCTTGATAAGCTGTGCGACCACTTGCCCAGTCCACGTGGCGAATCCGTCGTGGATTGTCGCAAGCTTGATGATATGCCAACCGTATCGTTTGTGATATCCGGGAAAAAGTTTGAGTTGACTGCTCATCAGTATGTGCTCCGAGAGAGCCAGGGGGGACAAGAAGAGTGTATCAGTGGATTTATGGGACTGGATGTCCCGCCGCCGTCAGGTCCGCTCTGGATCCTGGGTGATATTTTCCTCGGCGTGTATCACAGTGTTTAYGATTTCGGCAATGAGCGTGTTGGCTTCGCTCCAGCCACKCCGGTGCCTACGTGAAGAAACGAGGGAGGATTGCGATGTATTGAGGAAGAAAGGGCCAAGGAAGTCTGTGCAAGAAGGGAGGGGGGGGAGGGGAGAACGAGGGGAGAATAAGAAATATGGCGTGGGAGAAAGGGGAGGCCAGCGAGCGAGGGAAGCCTGAAGTTGGGTTATGGYGAGAGATCGAGAAGGAGCAGGATCAGCACGGCCGAGTCGGAAAGTCGAACGCAGACAAGAGACGAAGACTGAGGAAGTCTGTGCAAGAAGGGGGGGGAGGTGAGAACGAGGGGAGAAAAAGAAATATGGCGTGGGAGAAAGGGGAGGCCAGCGAGCGAGGGAAGCCTGAAGTTGGGTTATGGAGAGAGATCGAGAAGGAGCAGGAGCAGGATCAGCACGGCTAGTCTGAAAGTCGAACTCAGACAAGAGACGAAGACTGACGAAGAAGTCGGGAGGGAGACAAGAAGGCGATCTGTGTTGAAAGCATGTAGAGGAAAGAGAGGGGAAGGGGAGATGAAGGCAATATGCGGGAGAGTGAGATACAAGAAARCAGTGCGCAAATGTTGAGATCTCCCTCCAAAGAGCGCGAGGAAGGGCGGGGGAGAGGTAACTGAAAGAGATGCTTTTTCTATACAAGGGAACAGAAAGCAATTCAAAAGAGGAAGTGAAAAAAAAAAAAAAAAGGGTCATGGCAAGAGGAGGAGGATGTGTTGGAGCAGTGGAAATGCGGAGTTGAGCCCGAGTTACGATGTGTGGTGTGGTGCTGTGAGAGTTGTAGATAGTCTTTAACTTTCTTTTCTTCCGCTGCAATATTCCGACTGTGCAATATTCCAAATGAAAACCGTGGACGCTCTGCTGTAAAAGTTGTAGATAGTCTTTACCTTTTATTTATTTATTTATTTTTTGAATTTTTTTCTAAACTAAGCTATATTCTTCTCTCTATTTCACCTTTACTACCCACTTTCCATACTCTTAGGGGCTCGCCACACCACTGTCAGGAACACAGTTGTCGATAGTTTCTCTTCGCCATACAGCGCGTCGAAATTGGAGACGGGAAGAAAATTGGCAACTACGCTGTCAGAGAATGCTTCTCCACACCAACCTTTGGTACGTTGTTGAATCCCCCATCCCCAGCCTGCTACTCCGATGCTTTCAACAAACAGTCCTTGGCTGCGCGATCGACTTCTCCTCAAAAAATGGTGAGTGGGCGTGAGGTCGGGATGGACTAATGCTTGTCATACCACCACAGGCACGTTCTACTTCTTTTCCATCTTTTTTTTTTTAATTCTTTTCCATCTTGCATTTCTTACAAGTGCGTCCGTTCTACACTTGTGTGTGGCTAAAGGCGGGCAAACTGTCGAAGGGAGGCTGTCGAATTTATTCTGACAGCCGTCCGTCAAAGTTTGTAGCCTTTCGGCAGTGGTGTGGCGAGCCCTCACTTTCAACGTTCGCACTACTTGTCCCTCTCACGCACAAACATGCATCCAAAGACACACTAGCACATTATTTATTGGTTCTTTTCTAATTAGAGATCCTCCTTGCCCAGTGCATTCGCTTGCTTGTCCCCTCTCGGTTCAGATACGTCCGGCGACCCACCTCGAAATGTGCCGAATAGTCTGGTAGCACTTCATGGGAGTGTTTTCTGCGCCATGAGGGGTTGCTTTGTTCGTCCTCCACCATCGCCTTCGCAGCTGTGTGCCTTGTCTGCTCTGTACCTTTTTTTGCCCTTTGTACGCCTCCCTGCCTATTGCATCTGGGTTCAAAGCGGATGCTCTCTCGAAGCACCATATGGATTCTGCACACACTGCAGAATGTGCAGAATCCATATGGTGCTTYGAGAGAGCATCCGCTTTGAACCYAGCTGCCTATTGCATCTGGGTTCAAAGCGGTTCAGGGCCTTCGGGCCGTGATGAGTTGGCGAGAGTCCGCTGAAACCATCCCTTTTGTTTCGCTGCTGCTACATGTACATGAATATATATATATATATGCTGCTAAAACTCCGACGAAACAGTTTGTCACAGCCCCTCGTTTGTTGTCTTCTTCTCTCTCTCTGCCTACGGTTTACCGGGCAGTTCTATTTGTGACGATATATATGCTGCTAACGGGTATATATATATATATATATACCCGTTAGCAGCATATATATATATATACACACACACACACACACAGAGAGAGAGAGAGAGAGAGAGAGAGAGAGAGAGAGAGAGAGAGAGAGAGAGAGAGAGAGAGGTCTCAATATTTGAGAACGAGGTGTCACGATGTATAGTTAGGGTCTTTTGACGTCCCCGCTTCTCTATATGTGTTAGTGTATGAAGGATGGGTCTGAACTTTGATCTGGGTCTGAGGCCTCGGAGCGCTGTAGGAGAGAGCAAGCGCATTGGGAAAGGTAGCTCCAGGCAGTGGGTAGTTTAATCTTATCCAAAAGACTCTGGCTTTGTGTTGCCGGCTCATCTCTGGGAGACTCACTCACAATAGACAATTTTTGAGTGGTTGTTTGATAATACACAGTCCTTGAATGGACTGTAAGAGCATTTCGGTTCGGGCGTATGCAGTTAGCCAAATGGGCAGGGCACTCTGAAAAGGCACAGTTGCACTCTCGCGAGCCTGGGGCAAGCGGCCTTCGTCGATATAGCCTTGTTGTGTGAGGTGGTGGTGGTCCAAACCGCCAGTTCACCTGAAGCAGAGTACTGCTCTTGTTGGTTTCACTGTAAGTGCATTTTGATTCGGGCCTGCGCTTAACGTGGGGAAAGAGGCGGGCCACTTGGGAAAGGCACAGTTGCAGGATGGTGAGCCTTGGAAGATAGCAACTTAGGTTCAAATGAACTGGCGGTTAACTACCGGTACACTTCCGTTTGGCACAACGTGGATGTGGCCAGTCGTTACTACAGTGATGTCATGTTTCACGGCCAGTCGTTGCTACCGTGCTGCGGTGTTTCCACTTGAATGAATTTATGCCAGCGCCGCATGCCTGTTCATTTTAGCATGTCAGGGCACGCAGGTAGCCACGACTGTTGGAAGTACTGGTGGTTTAAGTACTTGGCCCATACATCGGCTGTGGGCCTTCATTGTTAATGCGTCAGTACCTTTGGGGGTCGGCCAAGGGAAGGCCCGGTCGATGCTCGAAGGCGGGACGCCACTGTTTTCGGCATGACAGCACGTACAGTGAAATGTAAGAGAAAAAGTTGAAAAACAAATAACAAAGAAAACTGAAAAACAGAGTAGAAAAACAATTCTGTTTTCTTCGATTGCGCGCTAGAGAGAGAGAGAGAGAGAGAGAGAGAGAGAGAGAGAGAGAGAGAGGTGCGAAGTTGGAATGAATCCACCCGCCTTTGAATGTTTATCCTTCCATTCACGAGTGTCACAGAGAGAGAGAGAGAGAGAGAGAGAGAGAGAGAGAGAGAGAGAGAGAGAGAGAGAGAGAGAGAGAGAGAGAGAGAGAG